GGTGGTGCCGCCGTGAGTGAGCAGTGAAAAATAAGTAAAGCCGCATGACGCTAACTAGCACCAATAGAGAACTATTGGTCAACGACCCAGTGAAAGCATGGTATCTGAGACTCCGTGCCAGCGAGCAATCTTGGAGGTCATGGTTAAAACTTCTCGTTAACAGTAAAAAAAGAAGCCTTACCACGTTGGCATCGGTGACTCGCTCACGCAATTGTGATCTTTGCCTTTTGCTTCGTGTTAACGTGTGATACCTCGTTGTCGGAGGCGTGTAGCTTCCACGTGCACCAACAATGTTTCGCCACCACCTACTTTGGGCGTGATATAGTGTGATAGCGGCAACTAATGAAGCTGCTACAGTAGGCACTACAGCAAGGTAGCGATGTCCAGAGGTGAAGGTCATGCCTTGGAGGAGCGAAACAGAGGCCGGCGGGACGTGGAACGCCAGCGCCCTGAAGCACAGTTTGGTAGCGCATGCACGAACGCACGCGTATAGGTTACCCTATTTCTCAAGAGCGCACACCATGCCGTCTTTCTGCTTAATTGACGACGCTTTGTAGACTAGCCTATCAAGTGTCAGTGTTTACTATGCGCTTGTTGGTGTCATTTTGGGGCGAAGCTCCCTATGCCGCGGGTCGTCCGTCCGCGATGTATGTAGTAGTAGTGGTAGACGTCGACGTCGTAGTAGTAGGTAGCCACCTCAATGGCCAGACTTAAAGAGCGGCACGCGTGCACCCTTTTCAATTTAGGAGGAAACCCGCACATGGTAATCATATATAAAAAGATAGCAGTTTCTAATCAAATACCTCACAGAGACGAGCATTGGTGACAATCTCCAATAACATTTGCCTTGGATTTGATGCTTACTAAAAAAAAACTTTATCAGAAGGACGCACTTTGAGCACTACTTCACCCGAAAGGGTTGTTACGGTCAACTCGCTGGGCATAACCTCCTTGGTTTTAGCAAGGTTTAGCGAGGAGGGTCGCAGTGCCGTGAACTACTCTCTAAAAAAAGAGCGAGTAAAAAGGGTGTCTTTTTGTCCCGCAACAATAATCGTCATCTATATTGCGTTCCATCCTTGTGCTATCAAGTGATCCCCGCGCCTGGTACACTCCGGTCACGATCGACATGCCCATTATCAGGGTTACATTGCATTCTCGATAGGAAAGTGGCAAGCGCCGAGTTTTCAAGAAAGAAAGCACACGCAAGCCTGATGACGAATATTGTTGTGGGACAAAAAGGCACCCTTTTTACTCGATATTTTTTTAGAGTGTAGAGGTGGTAAAAGGTGGGAAGGAGACATGAAGCGCAGGCCGTACGAAAGTGCGCGAGTGCCACCTCTCGTGTAGTCCTTGAAATGTCCGCGGCATGGCTATACTTCTATACGGTGAATATGTGATAAAAAGATGCCAGATGGCGGTTTTTTGAGTGTTTACTAGATGAACGGACGAATGGATGGATGGATGGACAGACAGACAGACGCACGGACGAATGCACGGATTAATGGACGAATATATGGACGGACGCATTGATGAACGCAGGGACGGATGCACAGATAGACGCACAGGCATACGGACGCATGGACGGGCAGTCATACATACAGACGCATGAATGGTCGGAAGCAAGAACGAACGGACGGAGGGACGTTTCGCCCCACTCATCATTATGCACCGCGTGGATATGGCGTGACTTTAAGGGCCGGATCCACGATACGCTGTGTCCAGGTGTATGTTAAACACGTGAGCTACCACAAAGGTTAGATCATGATCATGGGTGGTAGTCGTCGCGTTAATGATGTTCCACTACGCGTGAACATGGGTGTGTTCATGGGAAACACTGCTATAGCTGCCAAACACAGACAGTCGTACAAGCACTCACATATCACTACACCATAAGCACTACCTGTATGAATACACGTTTCACTTCATGTTATATCGATTCTTATGACGTAGGGATCAGCCATGTTTTTGTTTTATGTTTTTTAAGTGATAGTTTTTATTTGAAAAGATCGAAGCAGATTTTTTTGGTTTTTTTTGTCTGTTTGTTTGTCTGTCAATCTGTCACCCGATTCAGCCACCCCACGAAACTTTCCTCAACGCCCAGCTATCTTGACGTGGTAGCCGTGTTCGTACTTGTGAACATTGTTGATCAAAAAGCTCATTGTACGCATATCTAAGGCGTACCATCAATACGCAAACACTTGGTTGTGTGTTCCTTTACAGAAATATACGGTGATATGGAATTCTAAAGACGCTACGCCATTATACATCCTACACACATTACGTGTTGCTCACGCTTCGCACAGAAAGTGATGCTATGCGCGAAAAGTGCTCTGCCGACGGCATGGTGCTGCCACCTGCCAGTGGAGCTGGGTTCTTTACATGCACCTGTTTCCCAACATTACCGCCCGACGCCGTCAATATCTCACGCAGCCCCGTCAGACTGAATACTATCGTCTTTCGATGACGATTGCGGTGAAGCACGTGGGTACGCGGCCAGTTTTCAAGAGCGAAGCTTTTTGTGTTCAACGGCAGTCTGTCTCTCCGTCATAGCCAGCACAGCATATCCACAGAGAGACAGATAGACGGACGGACGGACGCTGCGGCCCACTCATCATCGTTCACTCCTTGGTTATACTGTTTTTTACTTTTGTACGAACGCTTTTAGCATCACATTTGACACATTTTTTCAACTAGGCGTGAGGCTTCTGTACTAGCCGAACTACTTCGCGTTCCATAATTCTCTAGCATCAATCATACGCCATCATTCTGCAGCATTCTTTAGGTGGCATCATATTTCAGCACCATCATTTTTCTTAAAATAGGCCATTTCATGTAGCGGATATATTTTCAATGGAGTTTACAAACCCCGATGTTTTTGACAGGATAGCGTTAAAGACCTCATTCCACAGCCATTCTGGTGTCGGCGTCAGTGTCGTTGGTTGTGAGGAAAAAATCATCATCTTATGTGAGACCGAAACATTTAAAATGATGCAAATAAAATGAATTATTGATAAAAAGCCCTCGAGCAGTTTGCAGTCCCAGCCAGGGTTGATGGCGTCAAAGTGGGAATCAAAGCCGGGTTGTTTGCGTGAGTAACTATGAGGCAACCATTAGCGGTGTGTTGTGTGTAGCACAGCTAATGCGGCTTGCTGCAGAGCGTGGAGTTCCTGACCCGTCAACTAACGACGCTGATCGGTTGCGCGAAGGTGAACGCGGAAGACCCGCGCACGGGGAAAAAAAGGAGACTCCTTCGTTCACATGGTTCACGAGCGGAGCCGTCAAGGTCGCCCCCACTTGGGGATTAGAAGGGGAAAGCTTACTTAGAAGCGCGTCTGACGAGAATCACGTCAAGCGTGGTCGTATGAGTTTAAGTCATTGTCGTCATGCACGTGTGCCATCGGGAATGCCGCAGGGCATTCAGACACATGCTTTCGGAACGCAGATGAGCTTATAGTCCCCCGCTATACTTCATTACCGAGTGTTGTTAGGATGGCGGGGCGCCTAACTGTCGCATGCACAGTTGGTAAGCGCGCAGAGCCCAACGGTGTACTCACCGCTCTCAAGGAGGCTTCTACGAAGCAACACTTAATGAGAGAGATGACGGTGCTCGAGCGGGAGAATGGCTACCGACGGAAGTCAGCCGACTGCGGCCAGCACAACCTGACATAAGAAAGAGTGTGACACGCTGTGAACCTATCCCCTCTCGTGTTGTATTTCGTAACGTGGTTTTTACCAATGCAGTGCCTGTTATGAAAAAGATTTTGCAATTTGTTGTGGCGATGCGAGCCCATACGTGTGATTGGCTTGTGTGGAGACCCTTTGTTCAACCGGGGGTTGAAAGAGGGTGTTTGAATGAGGAAAAAAAGAACGGAGGTTCAGGCTTGAACCTGGGCAGACGCCTCTATGCTGCATGAAAGCGTCTCTTCACCGCACTACGGCTATTCCGTCGCACTGCCACCGTGCACTCCGGTTATCAAAGGGCATTCGTTCCGAGCCTCAAACACCTTCACTCCTTAGCTAGTGTAGAAGCTAGTCGAAGAGTGAGGAAATTAACAGCGTGCCAAGAGGATGTTCTACCCCACGACCACGCCTCCGCTTGAAAAAACAGTGAAAAGAACTTCTTCTGCTTAGAAATGCATTGAGAGAAGCATTCATGCGTCACAAACAAACGTGTCCTGTGTATATGTGTTCTTCACAATGCAACATGGTGGGATTGTCAGGGTGAACAGTGGAAGTGCCTCAGATAGGCAGGCCGACGTTTCGATAGCATAACTTCCTATCGATAGGAGGACACCTAAACGTCGGCCTGCCTATCTTAAGCACTTCCACTGTTAACCCTGATTATCCCACTACGTTGTTTCCATCGGTCGGCTTGCATCTTGATTTGGGATCACTATAAAACAATAAATATCGATGTAATAACACGTTGTCAAGCATCCATTGCCAACGGGCGTCAGAACATGTATTTATCTTAATGGCTCCGTAGGTGAAAGCCAGTACCTTACTACAAAAGGCACACACGCTACTGCGCCTATTCTCTTAAGTCCTCGAAGTGGGTGCATGGCAAGTTAGAAAAGGTTTCATGCAACAAGTGTTTTAAGTACGCAACACGAACAGGATGTCGCTATTGCGTTCAACTCTTCAAGATGAAGCTCGAGGGTTCTCCAAATTTTTTCTTATTTTTATATGAATACTTTGTTCCAATTACACCGGCTCTTCATTAAATGGCTGAAAAATATACCAAATAGCATAACTCAGTGCTCATACCACTAAAAAATCTGATGACTCTATTCTTTCTGACATGGAAATTGCGCTTACTATATTTAATAAACTTTTGCCTTCCTAAACTGACGACTCCACAATCGTGTTTGAAGTTTCCCCTGCATGCCTTCACCGAGCAAGTGTTAATGTATAGGAAAAATTTGATGGGCTAGCTGTCTCCTGTTTTCGAATTGTGCCACATTTCAAGGTTTTCATTAGATAATGTAGAAAAGGGTTACCATGTCTTGTTGGATACAAGCTTGGATACTGTATGGTTATAATAAATTCTGTCCATCTCCCTTTTTCGCATATGTTCGCAGGTTCTAGTTTGTTTATTGCAATCATATCCCACACATGTCTCGTTCGTAGGTATTTTAGGTTTCCATAAGAAGAGGTACAATGGTTCCGATGTATTTAGTACCTGCAAGGCAAAGAAAATGTTTGTGTTCAAAGCAAACAATAAGCGATAGGATCAAACTTCGTAATAGCGAAAATTTCATTCAAAACCCTCTGCTAAAAAATTTGAAGGAAGGTTTATTTTGCAAATTTAAAAAAATTGTTAAAACTACTGACTAGGTGATCGTATATTTGATAGGCATTGCGGATCTGTTCCACGTTGCGAATGATGGAATCACGAACGGTACATACATTGGTTTGATATCTGCATGCGTCTGTAGGTATTCTACGCCGATGGATCTTCAATTGTACATTGAGAGGGGGGGGGGGGGGCGTTGTCAACAACGTTTGCAGGAATACTCTGTGTAGTATTGCACGGGAACGAAAACATTAACGCAGATTCCTTCATAATATTGACGCCTGATAGACGTTTTAATACGGCCAACAACTTATGAAGGTATGCGGTACGAAAGAATATGCGTATCAACGAGTCTAAGAAAGTAGAAGCACTTCCATTTGGAGGGAAAACACTTCGCGAGCTTCACAAAATAACTGGTTCACACCCTTCTCCCTAGAAAAGGAAAGCAACAACAAGTTGATCGCGCTTTCCTTCTTTTGTTTATTTGCGAAATTTTTCACGCACATATGATTGCTATCGAACCGCAGTCCATCACAAATAGAGTGACTTTATCTGAATACAGCATCAATAGAGTCATCATGAATTAAGAATATACGCCCTAAAATCGAAAGAGTTCATTGCACCATAGCTGAAAGCTGCTGAACCGTTCAGCTGCTTTCTCGGCTTTGCGACATTTATTATTATCCTGACGTGCCTGACAATAGCCCTGAGACCCAGGGCCTAATTTCTATTTTTGACACAAGCCCAATTTGCGGATGATGGTGCTCCTTGTCAAGAACGGACGCCATTACAAGTGTGGCAGCTTGGGCTAGTTACGTGTCGTCGTTTTGTTCTCGCGCTATAACTATCGTAATGCCATTACAAGGCTTCGATCAGTTTCACGAGAACTGACACTTGCTCAGTGGAATTCGACGGCATATACCAACGTCCATCTTCCTAAATTAGACCTACACCTAGAGCTCCGTCTTCCATTGGGAAGAACTAGAACTGAAGAGACGCTTTTGTGCCTCCTGTGGTTCGGAGTGGCGTTTAGATATGCTTATTTGTTTCGAATCGGATTGGCCAGCAGCCCGACATGCGACAACTGTGGCTGCACGGAGACAATTTCCTATCTTTTCTGCGAATGTCCTCACTTTAGTGCGCAAAGAAAAGAACTTTCAAAAGTTGTAAACACACTTGACAATCGCCAATTGTCGGAACAAAGGGCATTAGGACACTGGTCGAGATCGTCCTCAGCACGTAAAGCATTGAGAGCGCTGTTGCTCTTTTTGCGGGAAGAGGTCTTAGAGACAGACTGTAAGCAGCGTCATGGATTGTACTGTTATCCATCTTCTTTTTTCCCCTTTAAAGTCTCTTTTCTGTCATCTTTCATTCTCCTTGCCCCTTTCCACAGCACAGGGTTGCCAGCCGGTCTGAGAACTCACTAACGCCCCTGTTCTTCTTCCTCCTCCTCCTCCTCCTGTGGCACAAGCGTGAAGCCATTTAACGCATTTGTCGTCTTTGGTCTCTTCACCGCTCCTGAATTGCACTTTCACGATAATGAGGCCTCACTACTCGTGGCGTCTGTGCCTGTGTGGCGCCAACGTGGCACTGCGTCCTATAAGTGAGCACATCTGACAGTGGAAACAACCTCGTAGAACTCGCTGCAAACGAATAGTATCTCAACTGCTGTAAGAAGTAGGAAGTCTATAAAGAGCAGCAAAAATTAGCACATGTTTTCCGTACCGAGTTTGTAAACTTGCCTAACAAGACTCGACTCGTGGGGGAATACTCCTGTATGCTTACCTCAAGCGTTGGCGTCGTTGAGGCCATGATGAATGGTACAGTGGGAAGTCAAAAAACTGGAACGCTGTGCGCCCGCGCACTGCAATTTCCACAGTGGTGTAACTGCTGTATGTTCTTGTTTTTTTTCCTTGTGCTCAAGAGTAGCATCGCCACCTGATTTCAGTATGGTACATTGAACGCAACTTCTTTCATGTCATCGGCCATGCTCGGATTAAAATTTTAAAGAAACGTAAATGGTTGCTACCTTCGTCATAGATATCGGTATAACACAAAAGTAAAACGTGCCCTTATATAAACAGTAGAAGCAAAAAGAGTGTTCTACACTCATCGTAATGGCAACAGGTGGTGCTGATAGAAGCTACTACGTTTAACTTCCCTTATAAACTGAACGGGGGCATGACTGCCACCGTATAGATCAGTCGTTGATTATTTGACGCGTGATTAAAAGGTTGCAGGTTCGACCCTGTTGGTGGGAAGTTATATTGTCGTCCACTTTTCTTTCGTCATATTTACGTTAGAATTCACTGTAATAACATCGCCTATACTTTTCTTGGCATTAGTGTCTGTTAGTTCTGAATATTTGTGAGTCAAACAAAGATTGCCAGTCCCTAAATATACACTTCTTTCCTTCTACTTAAAAGTAGCAGCTCTTAGTAACGGAATAGGCAGGCACTTTCAAACCGATACTTAAGCATGGTGGCTCAGCAATAGGATAATAGTTGGTTTCGTTGAAGCGCTCGGTGTCTTCTGTTGCCGTCACTGAAACCACCATGCTGCTGTAGAAGCATGCTGTAACACGACGTTTTTGCTACTACGTTGGTGATATGAGTGCATTGTACGGTACGAATAACATTATAGGTCCGGAGAAGGGCCACGCCTTAGGGTGACAGCGTGGGCCACTGCCACGTCAGGGCAGTTAGACCTGACCTTACCGCCGCATCGCAAGCTCTCTGGACAGCTCACAGTATGCTTAAATTCCAAGCTCTTGAGGGCAGAGCTCCAGTTTGCTCTGTGAGGTCCTTATTCCCACGTAACGAGCGACACTGCCAAAACATGTGCTTTAATTCACGCATTCACCCAAAGCGAGGGCACTGCGAACTGAAGTCACTTGAAAATGAACAGTACATGAAAGCGAGGTTCGGATAAGTTGGTTTGTATTCATTCAAAAGTGATCGCCTGTGGTCTAGTGAGTTTTTTTTTTTTTTGTGGAGAAAATATTTTTTCTCTCCAGACAGAGATTCTTTGCGAACTCAGTAAACGTAAATAAAGTGTCTCGGGAATCTTAAGCCCTGCACTATGACAAGGCTTCAAGCCACACAGAGAGTTCATAGCACGCTTCAGAGTGGGCGATATCATCAAGGTTGGTCAACGAGCTGAGATTTTAGCCTAGGTGTGCCACGAACCATGTTATTGCGTGCATAGTTATTGTCCTATTTTTAAAGGGGCCCTGCAACACTTTTTGAGCCTGGCCAGAGAACGGTGCCGATCGGTAGAGGCTTCCGAGAACACGTGAGCCAAATATTGTCACAATTAGTAGTCAGCGGCTCAACAGAGGAGAACGAAGCGAGTAGCACGAGCAGAAATTGCTGGCTTTCCGGGGTAGACGACGTTGGGGCGTCTGCTTTTGTGTTCTTGTGTTTGAATACAGCCTCACCTATTGTCATCGCAATGAAGTCTTGTGCCCTGTTTCTACGTTGCGACAATACTATAGCGAAGCAAGCGGCCCAGAATTCACAAGAAAAAATTTGAATTCCAGAAAAGAAGCTTGAAATTGTTTTCTTTTCTCTCAATGAATTACGGAAGAAGCTAAAGAACAACTCGTAAAAGGCATTCTGTCAGCCATTGGCTGATATGAACCTGGCGCACTCGGTCGTTACAGGGATTGCCATGGCAGGCCACGACTTGTCCAGGCGTGCGCTCGCGATCACTCTGAAAAAGGCACCTAATCAAAAAAAGATAAAAATGTGGTCCAGGTCACTAGTTATCCTTGACGTATCTTTTTGACCCATGCCATCTCTCCCTGCTTAGCATCTAGCGCTTTTTTCGGGATGAGAAAAGAGAGAATTCGACTGCAGCGTGCGATAAATCCTTGTTACTCTGCTCGTAATGGACGAATTCTTAAACGTTTTGTGGCGTTGTATTTATCAGGCAATAAACTGTTTTAGTCGTTATCAAATTCCCATTTCACAGTACTTGACAAAGTGTTTTATAGCCACTTTAAGGACGTCATGCGCCTCTTTCACTGCAGAGACCGAAAGCAAACGCCGATCTAGAACCAGAGTAAAATGGCGTACTTTAGTCATTGGAGACTGCAAAAGCAAAAGCGTTGTGCTCCGTATCGTATGTATATTCTTTTGTAATTCATGCACAGACGCCAATAACTTTCATTCCATGTAATTGTCACAATAGCGCATATTTACGTCAAGCTATACTGCCTTGACATCATCATAGCTGAGACGTCCCCCGCTACGCCACCGATTACCAAAGAGAGGAAAGACCACTCAACCCCTTATCTATCCGGTTCCCTCTTGGCTATGTGTCTGAATCACTTCACACATTCCGGGGTTCGTGCTGGGGCCGGGAAGTAAGAGACGCTACGACCTGTTTTTGTTTACTGATTCATTTAATTTATTACTAACTGCAAACATCGTATACCCGCGTACATCAAGCACTAAACAAAATAATAACACATGATTTAGACACTCGCGACATTCGACACAGGGCAGGCACATAAAGAACGTAACTGCAACAATATAAGGGTATGTATAGAAGAAAAACACACGACGACACAAATGATGAAGTTATCAATGAATAAAACCACGCAATGTCTCAACACGCCACCTCCCTTCGCGCAAAGCTAATCTAAATAGGGTGCGTAAAGTTCGTCTCACGAATGGTCCGTGTTGAGACATTGCGTGGTTTTATTCATTGATAACTTCATCATTTGTGTCGTCGTGTGTTTTTCTTATATACATACCCTTATATTGTTGCAGTTACTTTCTTTATGTGCCTGCCCTGTGTCGAACGTCGCGAGTGTCTAAATCATGTGTTATAATTTTGTGTAGTGGTTGATGTACGCGGGCACACGATGTTTGCAGTTAGTAATAAATTAAATGAATCAGTAAACAGGAACAGGTCGTAGCGTCTCTTACTTCCCGGCCCCAGCACGAATCCCTGTATGTGGGAAGTGATTGAGACACGTAGCCAAGAGGGAACCGGATAGAAAAAAGGGCTGAGTGTACTTCCCTCTCTTTGGCAATCGGTGGCGTAGCGGGGGACGTCTCATAGCCATCATGCTGGTGTATTACACTGTAAGATGCTTCATCGATGACATCACATATGAAAGCTATCAAGGAACACGATTGAGCTGTACTTCCCTTTCTCCTCTATAAGCAGAAGGTTGGGTTTCACCGGCACTTTACGGCGAGCAACTAAGCTTGCGCGTTTGAGGTGAAAACGTGGTGCGCATGCGTCAAACTGACATTATGGAAGCATGAATTGTAATATTACGATTAGTGCGAGAAAATAAAACCGTTTAAAGTTTAGAGAGATGAATTTAGTTTCGACGTTAAAAGAAACCGAAAACCTTAAGTCATGCTCCATTGTTTGATGCCACTTAAATGTTGAGCAGACACGACTCCTTTTTTACATCATCATCTGCCTGGTTATGCGCCCACTGCAGGCCAAAAGCCTGTCCCATGGTTCACCAATCAACCCAGTCTTGTGATTTTTGCTGCTATACCGGCAAACTTAATAATCACATAGGCCCACTTAACTTTCTGTCTCCCCTTCGTGCGTTGGCCTTCTCTGGGAATCAAGTTAGCTTTCCTAATGACCAGCGCTTATGCTGCCTACGTGCTACGTGAACAGTCCATGTACATTTCTTCTTCATTTCAACTAATATATTCTTAACCCCGGTTTTTACTCTGACCTAGTTTTCTCTTTCATCGTCTCTTTAGGTTACACCCATCACTAGTCTTCCCATTGCTTACTGTGTCGTTCAATATTTAAGCTAAACCCTCTTTGTAAGCCCCCATGTATCTGCTCCTTAGGTAAGCACGGGCAAGATGCAGCTGTTACAAACCTTTCTCTTGAGGGCTCGTGGTAGGTTAACATTCATTATTTTAGAATGCTCGCCGAAGTGATCCACCCCATTCTTATTCTTCACATGATGCAAATGTCTCTATATTAGTTCATAATTTCACAAAATAATTACTGGAGATGCTCCCCACAATCACTACTCTCTGCTGTATGTTTGTGTTGGCATGTATGCATTGTCTTTCTTGGCAGACAAAAGACCTTTGAAGAAGCGCAGCTCATCATGTACCAAAGACCTCGCACTTTCCCCTTAAGAACCACAGTTCCCTTGGAAATAAGTGCATAAATAATAGTCTCTCACCAATCTTTCTTACTGCAGGTATTTCTTCCTAAATTTTGGCAGTCGGAGAAATATTATTTGCATTACTAAGTTCACTGTAGTCGAACGTTACGAAAATTAACCTAATTAGCCTAATCATTAATACTGGGAATTCGACATGACAGCAACAATCATTTTCATTTCATGTGGTGGCTCTCCTTCGACGTACATTCACATAATAATAAAACGATCTTTACGGTACTGTTGACAGAAAGCGCTTACCTTAAGAAGGTTAAGGTCTGCTTGAGAATTTGTTTTAACATATTCAGCCCCACAAATGGAATAGAAGATAACAACGGCCGGAAGCAATGCAGAGCGCATTAGGTTCCAAATGAAGTATGTCATATTCGGTGGAAGATGGTAATGTGCATCCTACAATTTCTGAAATCGGTCCTTATATCCAGCACAATGAAGATGAATAACTGTTTGTGTTATGTATTGGATCATTTATGGGATTAATCCTGTTACACGTTACTATCACAATGGGCAAAGTCCACAGAACAGCTGGTTCTCCTCCTGCTTTAGCAGTAAACATGTAATCTACACAGCATCCCTTTGCTGTTTTAAATATTCATCTCGACATTTTTTTTGAAAACTATACGGGAAGACGCTCAGCTATTCACCGTTTTGCTTGAATCCATGTCTTGCGGTTATTTGTTTCCTCACAGGCCATATGTATATATCAACGTGACATTAAATGACGTAAAGTACGTGCGCCTCATTGTGTAGGAACGCGCGCTTGAATGCCTTATTGTTCTACCAGTGGCTATCATTATCATTTCAAATAGCTCGTCTATGTGAAGCAACGTTTCGTTCCTTGTAAAACAAGATTTTGCATGCAATGCATAAGCAGTGGCACTCCAGGGTCAAATAAGAGCCTACCCAGTTAATATTCAAAGCAAATTTCGTGCTTAATTGGCAGTTTCCTTGTCGCTTATTATGTGGTGCGTAAATTCGAGTCACAGCAATTTCAAAAAGATGCGTGGTCGCAAACCTAAGAGGAAAAGCTATTACGACACAATCTGATGTATTGCCCCATAACCTATAACCATAACCATAACCTATTGCCCCATAAGTCCCTATCAACCTGTTCCCTCCCCCAAGAATGGAAAATCGCAAAAGTAGCTGCTGTTCATAAATCTGGTAGCGAAGCTGACCCTTCGAATTTCAGACCCATTTCACTAACCAGCACAACTTGCAAACTACTGGAACACATTATTCTTAAACATCTAACGTCGTACCTTGACCAGAATCACATCTTATTGCCACTACAACACGGTTTTCGCAAAGGACTATCTACAGTTACCCAACTGGTTGAACTAATTCACGACATCTCCCTCAATGTAGACTGTACAAAACAAACTGATTTAATTCTATTAGATTTCTCAAAGGCGTTTGATCGGGTGCCACACAAAAAACTTATAAAAAAATTAGAAGCAACGATAGGCGCAGGCCCACTTACTGACTGAATCGACAGTTATCTGAGTAACCGAACACAGTACGCGCAAGTCAATTGCGAAAGTTCTACCATAGCCAACATTACGTCAGGTGTACCGCAGGGCAGTGTTTTGGCCCCCATTTTATTTTTGATCTTAATTAATGATTTACCTGCTGGCATTGGTGTTAATGTGAGGCTTTTCGCCGATGACTGTATACTTTACCAGGAAATTAACGCCCCAGAAGATCATGTAAAACTGAACAATGCCTTGCAGTTCATATCTAAGTGGTGTGCTCTTTGGCAAATGACCCTGAATGTTAAAAAATCTGCTCTCTTGAGGATAACAAGAAAAAAGCAAGTATCTGAATTTCTTTACGTTATAAATTACTCTCCACTTCCGGTAGTGACTGAACACAAATATCTAGGTTTAACTTCAACGCAAGATTTTAGACGGGATATCCACGTTAGTCATGTCACATCAGCTGCATTAAAATGGCTGTTTTTCCTTCGTAGAGGTCTCGCTTCCGCGCCACCTGAAACGAAACTTCTAGCCTACAAAGCGTTTGTCAGACCTGTCTTAGATTATGCAAACGTCGCGTGGTCTCCCTTTACAAACAATCTCACAAATGCCCTAGAACGAATACAACGAAAAGCGATAAGTTTTGTCTATAACAAGTACAGACTCACCCACAGAACTTTTAAAAAAAGCAGGTCTCTTAACAATAAAAAACCGCGCTAAACTGACACGTCAGAAATTTCTATATCAGTTAGTTCACAAACAGCTAAACATAGACAGTTCAAAGTACATGTCATTTAAAGAAACAAGGCCAACACGACAAAAGCATTCTCAGACACTGAATGAATATCAGTGCCGGGCGGACTGTCTGACATATTCTTTTTTTCCACTAGCAATTCGCGAATGAAATAACTTGCCAATCAGTATAACAAACAGTAAATCACTGGAAACTTTTTCATCCCTGCCCTGCTCGAATGTTATTTATTGTCATCAGAATTGACGAACTCTGTTTTTTTCTTGTCCACTGTTTGAAGTGCTCACTATTCTTTTTTTTCAGTACTAGTTGGAATTGATGTCCTATGCTACTGAATGTATTTTAGTGGTACTGATGTAGTCATCAAATGTATTTCTGTCGGCTTTGTCTCACTCGTTATTATAATAATTTAGTGAGTACCCTCTGCATAAATCTTGCCCTTTCACAATGTATGTGCCCTTCCTGCAATAATCCCTGTTGGGATTGGCAGTATATGTAAATAAATAAAAAATAAATAACCTAGTAAACGGCATCACTATGAAGAGTACAGCTAGACGTACTTCGCAAAGCATCTCTGTCGCCTAGCTGGCGTGCCAGCTAGGCGACAGCTGGGCGACATCATTCGTCATCATTCGCCTGGTATTTAGAGGCTGAGAACAATATGCACGTTATCGGCGTATCATTCATCAAAAATTGGCGAGTGTTGTAGGGTCAAGAACTGCCAAGCTAACAGGTAGTGATTAATTTTTATGACTAAAAAGCTATGAAAGGGCTTGAACTCTCCTTATTCTAGAAACCCGCTCGTCACCCAAAGCAGACATGAAAAAAAAGTGGCAGCATATCCACGGAGTGAATGATGGAGGGTTGAGCGAAGCATTCTTCCGTCCATTCGTTCTTGCTTCCGTCCGTCAATGCGTCCATCTGTGTGACCATCCGCGCGTCCATCCGCCCGTCCGTGCGTGCGTCTGTTCGTGCGTCCGTCCCTACTTTCGTCCATGCATGCGCCCCTGCGTCCGTTCATGCGCCCATCCATGCATCTGTCTGTGTGTCCGTTCGTCCATCTATTAAAAACTCCAAGTACCACCATCTCGCATCTTTTCATCCCTTTCTTGTACCAATGGCTGCTAATGGGGAATGAGAGACAGGAGCATTCGGCTTTTAGTTAACGCGCACGCCGCGAACTTTTTATTGTTCAACAAAGCACAGGAGAAATCTCCCACCGGCACCACCTTGCAGGTCAAAATGTAACACTTGTTACACCCTACGACTACGACTACGAGGGACGAACGGGTGCCGCTTTAAGGAGCTTCGCTCCTAAATATTGCGTCAAATTTTGCATCACTGTTGTAATTTAGAAAAGCTTGCATACTCACACACAAACATACACATAAGACTTGATGTTGCCGCACAATATATATATATATATATATATATATATATATATATATATATATATATATATATATATATATACATATATATATACATATATATATATATATATATATATGTAGTGAAGAAGATGAATGCTACTCAGAAGGGCAGGGGGTATGACTCAGTCGGTGAAGAAGACGACGTTTTGGTTGGCTGGGGACTCAGGCTAGTTCCGCCATTACCACTTGACGTTTCGTGAGCGCTCTCCTGTTTTATAAAAGAGTACCACTCTAAAACGCATCAATATAATTGGCGGAGAGTGCTGGGTAACGCCTAATCCTGGAACAGCGAAACCATACGTTGCCTCCAGTTGCTACGATGTCCACGGACGATGATCAGCAGGCGGCCGCCTCGGCTCCAACTACTGCAGCTCCTGTCTGTCTTGGCTCCTTTCGGCAACGCGATCCACCTACCTTCAGTGGAACCGATGACAAAGACGCGGAAGACTGGCTCGACGAATACGACCGGGTGAGCAAGCACAACAAGTGGGACGATGCACACAAGCTTACTGTCGTCCAATTTTATTTGACCGACGTCGCCAGTCTGTGGTACCGTAATCACGAGAGAGACCTCCCCACCTGGTCGGCCTTCCGAACGGCGTTTGCGGACTTGTTTGGCCGTCCAGCACTTCGCAAACTACGGGCCGAACAGTGCTTGCGTACCAGGGCTCAGCAGAATGGTGAGCATTACACCAGTTATATCGAAGATGTGGTCGACCTTTGCCGGCGTGTCAACTCGGCCATGACAGAAGCCGAGAAGATCAAACACATTTTGAAAGGCGTGACTGACGACGCATTTCATATGCTTGTCGCCAAAAGCCCGCAAACGGTAGCGGAAGTGATCCAACTGTGTCAGAGCTATGATGAGCTCTGGAAACAGCGTGACACCACTCGTCGTGCCACCGCGCCATGTGCAACAATCTCCGCTATAACGTCGGCTGGCACTGCTATAGACCACACCACTTTGCTTCTCGAGATCAAGCAATTTGTACGAGAGGAGGTCGCACGCCAGTTGTCCCTCGTGCCTTATACCTCCGAAGGTGCCCCATCTACATTAGCGCCATCAATACAGCGATTAGTCCAGGAGCAAGTGTCCGAGGCGCTACCAATAGCTCACGCACCACCTGTGGCTGCTCCATTGACCTATGCCGAAGCACTGAACGGAACCCGACGTCCACCTGTCGCGAACGGCCACGTTTCTTTGTCGCGAACGCCTACGTCCACGCGTCCCTTTGTCGTACCGACTGAGCTTATGTACCAGGCTGCCCGTCCTTTCTCCCGACCACCACCTCAACGCTTTCAGAACCCTTGGCGCACTCAAGACAACCGCCCCATATGCTTCGCTTGTGGAATTGCGGGTCACGTGGCACGATTTTGTCGACGGCGTGAGTTTTTCCTGCGTGACGACGTCAGGCACAACAATTATGATTTACCCCCACGACCGGAGCCGGCTGTATATGGCAAGACTACCACCATGGACACATTTGCACCTCGCCGGAACTTCAATAGACACCGGTCGCCTTCACCTCAACGCCGTTCCCTTTCCCCTATGCTCCGTCGACCTCGCCCTGTCCCTGAGGAAAACTAGGAGCCGCGGTTCCGGGGGCAAGAACTGCGGATCTTTCGAACTCCACAAGACCTTGTTTTTCGCCGTCCAACGTCGTTGCTGTCTCCGTTGAAGGTACACCTGTTTTTGCATTGGTCGATACTGGCGCCGCAGTGTCTGTAATGACTGAAAAACTTTGCCGTCGACTAAAAAACGTCACAATGCCTCTACACGACTTCG